TTGTTTTTTATGTATTTGAGCCGTCACGTTCTGGTGTCTGGTCTGCCTGTCACTGTCCTGAAAGCCGGCAATAACACGCCAAAATGGGCCCAAAACTTAGCATTTACTGTATGAAGGTCGAGGCACAATGCCATTCAGATGATGTTGGTGAAAAGTAGTATCTGCAATCGTTAGACATCCAGGTTGAGATGGCCGAGTTGGTCTAAGGCGCCAGATTAAGGTTCTGGTCCGAAAGGGCGTGGGTTCAAATCCCACTCTCAACAAAATGTTTTTTGTCATTCTGAAAATTTACCATTTATATTGGCAATCCACAATTTTTTTTTTTTTTAAGGATTACCAAATGTAGCACTGGATCGTAGCAAATATCAATTTTTATCTAATTTTTTAAGGACAAACATGTACCAAAATGCAAATATCAATTTTTATTCTAATTTTTTTAAGGATAAACATGTACCAAAATGATATAATTATAAAATTAATTGATTTGATATCTCACCCACATTTTTTTTTATTTTTTAAAGATTATCAAATATGATAATTGACAATGGTGCTTATTAGGTAACTCAAGACCAAAACCAGATTCCATAATTTTTTCCCCCTTTACTAAAACCAAGGAGAGATGGGTTGCGTTGGGTTAGGTAGGTATGAGGGCAATGGGAGCAATGTCTTCATTCACTACATCTTTAAAATAAATAAATAAAGTTTGGCATCTGCACTTGCAACTTTTAATTTTTTAGATTCAACCCACTTAAATAAGTTACATAGGTATAATATTTGCTCTCATAAGATGAATTAAAACATCTTTTTTTAAAAGTTTTTTATTTTACAATTTAAACTATATTAAAATATAAGATAGAAACCATTAAATAGGGAGAGAGTTCTCAATATTAGAGAACCCATCTCCATCTAATGATTATAATTATATAATTTGATATAATTTAAACTATATAACATATATTTTTTTGAAATTAGATAATTAACATAGGGATTTGTTTTTGGTTTTAAAAGGAAAGAAAGGGCTGGGGTAAAGTGTTACTTGAAAGAATGTACTGAAAATATCAATTCACATAAGAATCCAATGTAGTTGAACCGGTTTTTCTTTAGCGGTAGGAAGTGAGGAGACCACAAGTGGTACAAGAATGTTAAAAAGTTCAGCCATAGGCAATCATGAATCAGGATGGTCGAATGTTTATAGTGGATACTTTTGTCCTCGATGTAGAATTTGGAATGGATAGAAGTGAAGAACATGCAAATGGCATCTTGGGGGTCCTGTTGCCTTTTTAATTATTCCCTCCCTTTCGGTCGGAGAGGGTGAGTTTGACTCCAGAAAAAAGGGATGGACGTCAAGCATGTTCTTCTGCACACGGCTCACAGAAAGGGAGTTAAAGCTGGAGAGCGAAAGCATATACTTTCATTGGTACAAGTACATAACACACCCTATCCACAAACCAATTGCCTAATCTCGATTAAAAAATTTTAAAAAATGACATTAGATCATTGATAATGGTCAAAGATTCTCGCCCAACACCGAAGTAACAAAAACTAAACCAAAAATATGAGAGAAAAGCAAGAAAAACATTGATAAAAAGTATGCAACTACAGTTTTATATCATTGCGGCTTCATTAATGCTACAATTATGAGTAAACTGTAAGGTACAATTTTTTTTTTTTTAAAAAAAAAAAAAAAAAAAAGAAGAAAGGAAACCTCTCGCTACAATTTAATAAAATAATATGACTAAAATTGAATAAAGCCAGAGAAAGCGTGCTCAATTGTGTAATTAGGCTTCAAAACTATGGTTTGGGATACCCTTTCCAAGGAATCATGAATGGCTCAAGATCTTCTGTTCTTTTCAGTGGTTCTTTTTACTTCTGCCTCGCGTTGTCGACTTTGCTGCCTGTCATTTATCAAATAATTTGAATTATTAAGCAAAAAGCAGTAGAATCTAACCTAGATGCTAAAACAGAGAATCTGAAAGGCAGAACTGTTGAGGCCAAGATCACTAATTTTTAATGGAGTTATAGAACTTACACAAAAGCTGTGTATCCACCAGCATTAGTAGCTGATGGAAGTGATATATGGGCCACACCAGTAGACAAAGATTCCTGGCTTCCAGCAGGAGGATTTCTCCAATCCCCATCCATCTGAAGCAAACAACAAAAAGGGATTTGAGAGTCCACATACACAAGTAACTCAACAAATATCATATAGTAAAATAGCTGTATCTAGTAATAAGAACCTTATCCCACTTAGACTTCTTGCTTCTACCATCCCGGGCAACATTATCAGCTGCAGCTGGAGCAGGGCGTGTAGCACCAGCAGTCCCAGCTGAGGCACCTGCAAGAGTACTCAATTTAAGGACAACATTAATAAAAACTAAAGAGATAAGATTACCAAGCAAAAGATTCTTCATCCACCTGCAATAGGAATGCTCAATTTGGGTGTAGGTTGAATTCCTGCAGATACAAATTCAACCATCATATTCTTCTTGTTTTCTTGTTTCTTTCTCTCCATTTCACGCTTCATATCAGCCTCTATAATATAAAATAAAGAAAAAGTAAAAATGTATCAGAATCCAAGAGAAAAAAGGGAAACCATCCATAGCCAGCATAAGCATTGACGAAACCAGAAAAGTAATTATTTACAGAGAAGCAACAACTCCTTACTAGAAAATATTAGTGCAAAAGGATATGCTCATTAACGAGATATGTAGAGATTAACCTATTTCATCAATGAAGTCACTTTTGTCATATCCATGAGGATCAAATACATCTTTCCTGAAGTTTGACCCTATCGGATCAATATCTTGATACCTCACTGCATGCAGCAAGAAGTCCGGATTTCTATAATCCTTTCTATTGCGCACTTCTGCATTAAAGCTTTTCCCAGCTCGCTTCAAGTTGAGAAATTTATCTATCTTCCTCTAAAGTAACATGACAAGAAAAAAAGGAAATCAAAAAGAATATTGGGCTCAAGACAAATGCTGCATTATTTAGATTATTCTAAAAACTACAAAGCATATTTGCATGATTACAGGGGCAGAATTAAAGAATTCAGCTGAAGTCTATTTAATCAAATAATTAAAATTCAATGAATGCCTCACAATATCTAGTTATTTTGAAAGAATAAGATTCAAGGAATTGGACCAAAACTACTACTATTAGCATCTTGGCAAACAAGCTGCTCTGCCCTTACCTATGTTAATAATTAATTTGCAAGATGATTAAATTGCATCTGAAATATTTGAAAATAATTGACCCAGCATCTTTGTTTTATATTTCAAATAAAAGTATAACTAATTAAGGAAGTGGCAGGAAGCAGGAAATGGCACTTATGGAGCTTTGAGCACAAAGAGGAATCATAAACACCTCATCATACTCCCCACCCAATTCTAAATATCATCAAACATGGTCCCCAAAAAGAGAGAGAGAGAGAGAGAGAGAGAGAGAGAGAATGATGGGGCAAAATGAAAATAACATGACTATTCAAAACAGTTCTTATCAAAAATAGCACAAGGGGCATTCCAAGCACCCACAAGGGTCATGGTCAAAGTATTATACTTAGTGATTGATAGTCTATAAATAAAACTTACCTGCAGTTCCTCTGAGCATTTAGCTTGTGGTGGAGGTGGAAGAAATTGATCCAAGGGATCAACAGTTTCTACAGAGACTTTAACAGCTTCCTCAACTTCTATAGCTTCTGACTCGCTAGCAGCATGATTAATGGTAGTAGGTTGTGATGATTCCATAATTGATGATTGTGGAGTCAACTGAACAGCTACTGGTCCTGGACATGAAAATCAGCCGGTGCACATCAGTTATGTGGTAGATGAAGAAAATAGGACCAGATAATCATTACCAGAACATGCTAATTTCTTTTCTCAGTCGAAGGAAATAATACTAGAACATGCCATTCAAATGTCCTAATCATTAACCTTCCATGTTTTGCCCAATAATTTTTAAATTTTGTTTCTTATTTCTTAAATCAGTGCAGATATACTAGAATTCAAGATCTTTATTCTAGGCTTTCGTCAGCAAGACAGCCTAACCACCCTGTGTATATGGTTATAGCTTTCTTTCAACCTTATTCTCTATGTTTGATTAACATAGATCAGAATGGGTACAAGAGAACCATTCAAGATTTACTGCAAGTTTAAGTTACTCAAGGATTTAGTGCTTTCTGAGTATGTAGCTTCCTCTTTCTCTCTCTCTCTTTCTTATTATTATTATTATTATTATTATTATTATTATTATTATTTATTTTATTTTGCAGATTTTCTACTTCCATACTCTTAACCCAGTTACCACTTAGGTTTCCTTAGCTAAGCTACAACAAGTTGACATAAAAGTCTCCTCCCCAGCCCCAGCTGCAGGTGAAAAGCAACTGCATACAACTTCACAAACACCCCTTCAGTTTCACTATACATTAAATATTTCAATCACGTCAAATTTAGACCTAGCAACTAAAATGTTGGTTTTAAGCTATTTAGGAAGTTGTTCCAACTAATTAATTTGCATTAACTAAATCTATATCCTTTCCCTTCTCCATCCAGTTTCCATATCGCAGACAAATAACACTGAAAAACTATAGAGTCCAATTCTTACACAAAAGGTAAAACCTTCTCAAAAATTTATATATAGAGTAGCAACAGTTCAGGTTATTCGTGCCGTTACCAGCTTGATGCTCCACGCCAGACATAGCCTGACCACTACTACCATTATCACCCTCCTGCACTCACAACACGAAAATCAAAGAAAATCATGAGGTCTAGACCCAAAAAAGACTCAGAAATGGTCAAGCAGAAGTAGAAATGGAGAAAGCACAACCCTAAATCGACAATAACCTAAGATTTCACAAAAAGGGCTAGCCTTCCTAGCAAATTCAGAGGTAGTTAAAAAAATTTCAATAGAGCAACTCGAAATCAAATGAAGATTAGTAAAGCTCAACAGACTAGAAATTCGAAAAAATTCTCTTCCTTGAATGGATGTTGCTCTTCTTCCCCTATTTGATCATCTTCTTCCATGTCTTCATCATCTTCATCGTTGTACATGGAGAGCAAGGCGATTCCTTCCGACGCTTTCTTCTTCGATGCCATTGAATCTTGGGTCTTGCTGGTGCAATTGGAAACTGGTTCGGTGGGAATTTAGGATTCGGAATTTGGGATTTGGAATTTGGAATTTGGAATAGAGAATGTAGGGTTTTTGTTCTGTTTCAGTGTTATAATTGAAATTTTGGAGCGAAAATGGTAAGATTTTGAGGGAGAACGGGAGAAGCCTATATTGGGGTTGGACTGAGCTCGAGCCCATCTCCGAGCCATTTTAATGTTGCTTTGAATGAATTGCAGCTCATCTATTATTAAAAGAAATTAGACCCTATCATTCTTGTGCTTTGTTAAGCTTTGTTAATAAAGTTATTTATATTTTTAATTATAAATTTAAAATTTAATTTTTATTTTTATGTACTATAAAAATTATAAAATAAAATTAGAGGAAAATACAAAAAATACAATTCGAGCATAATAGAAATTTTCTAAAATTTTATTTTGATTTGAGGGAACCTTATTATTATTTTTTCTTATATTTAAAGGTTAGATATTTAGCAATATAGAAATCTTGATTTCAAATCAAATATTTTAAGTTATTGAGTATTTTTATTAGTTAAATTTTTATTGGTGAAATAACTAATGGATGTTAGGTATTAATCATTTTTTTTTATCTTAGATTGTGCAACAGAAGGGAAATTTTTCTCATCATTTAACATTTAAGTCAAGTTGCTTTTATATTGTATAATTTAAATTTAAAATCTTTTATTTCTATTAAAAAAGGATGATACTATAGAAACAATTTTTTTATACCATATTTTGATAGAACATTTACGTGTCATTAAATGAATAAATGCATTCAATATTACAGATTTTACATAAATTAAAGAACTAATTATTTAAATAACATGCCAAATTATACCAAAATGTGATACAAAAAAGTTGTCCAAAATCATTTTTCATTAAAAAATATTACCATTGAGCTAATTTTGGCATCAATCATCTTAAACTATAGATAACAACACTTATATATCTTCTCCAACCGGTTAAAATAATTAAACTTGATTAGGATTTCTAACCTTCCATTTACAAAGATGGCATATCAAAGGATAAAAAATTTGGCACCAATTAACGTTCGCAGCTCAAAACATTAGGAAAAGAAAATCAAAATGTGGCTGTTAGCCGGACACCGGAGCCAAGTGGTGAATCCCTCGGGGCTCGGGTGTCTCTACTGGCCGCAGCGATAACGGAAAATTGTAGTTGGTGAAAATATCAAAATTGTCCATAACTTTGAAACTTTAATTGATTTGATTCCTAAACTTTTAAAAGTATAGAAAAGTTCTTAAGTATTGTTAACTACTAAGTTCATCCAAAAATTCATTTTTTAACTCAAAAAATTGCATGAAAACTATAAAATTGTTAATATGGACACTTTTTGTCTAAGTGAGTCATTTAATTTAAAAATATGACATTGACATAATTTGTAATTTTAATTAGTTAATAAATTAAAGTATGTAAAATTACATATATACTTTGTCAATAAAAACAAGAATAAGATTGGTAGCCTTAGCCAAACCATAGGAGAAGATGTTGGGTTCTTTGCTGGGGTAGGACAATTGTAGAAAAATTTTGGTTTATATTACGTATAAAAGTACATTATTTATTTTACAAGTAAGAATTTATTTATATATTAATCTTACACATTATACATAAAATCTCAATTATTTATCTTTTTACCTTTAATAATTAAGATTTATTTACGTTTATTAAAAATAAATATTTTTATTTAAAAAGTTACAATAAATCTCAATTATTGAAAATAAAAAGATAAATAATTGAGATTTTGTTTAAATGTGGTGTATAAAATTTACATATAAGTGAATTCTTACTCAATATTTATTGTGTCTAATTAAAGGTTCAATTAAATTTAAATTGTAATTAATAATTGCACTTTTCATCGAATCCTTTTTTTTTTTTTTGTGTGTGGAAAATTTCATCAATCCCTTTAATATGTTTAATTGGATTGTTGGGGTGTGCTGCATTTGTTACTGTAATTGTAGGTTTTTTAACTTTACGATTCTTAAAGCGCAAGTCTCCGTAAGAGAAAGGTTAAAATATTGTGTCCCTAAACTTTAAGATTTGTATTAAAATGATCTTTAAACTTTGAAAAGTACTAAAATAATCCATGAATGTTTAATTTGGGTACCTCTTTAGTCCTTTTGTTAACTTTTTTTAACAGACGCTTATGTAGCACGTTAGGTTGATATTTTTTTCTAATCCTTTTTTAACTGAAGTGTCATCTTTGAAACTTTTTGGTTAATGATATGTGTACAATTTTTTGTATAATTCTATTATAATTTTAACATATCATTAAATGAATATCACAAATATTAGTAAAGTGAAAAGATGTCAATTTTTAAATAATAAATAAGGTTATATTAAAAAAGTTATTTTTAAATGATATATGAGGTTGTATGCAAAAAAAATTTATCTCTTAATCATTTTTCATACTTTTAATTTATATTATCATGGGGGACCCTACTTTGGAAAATCTAATTATTAATTGATTAAATAAAGTGGACTTACTCATTTTAATTAAGTTGTATTGACTCTTAATTAGTAATTAATTTATGAATTTATCTAACCTGTACATTTAAAGCACATGTAGATGGTATCATTTTATAATTGATTATTCTATCCTATATTTTATGAAGTGCACAAATTAAAAGTATATTTATTATACATTTTTCTAATTAATTTATATAAAAAAATATAAATTTTGACTTTAATTTACTCAATTAACCAATTAAAACTAGTTATGTGACAATAATATTAAAATAAAGATAAATTTTTATAATTTTTTATATAAATTAATTGTAAAAATAATATTTATTGCACTCTAACAAATTAGATAAACCCTTTTATAATTAATATATGGGAAAAGGTATACAAAAGGTTAACAAGTACTAAAAAAAGGCAATAAAATTAAACATTTAATGACTTTTTCAATACTATTAAAGTTTAAAATCCATTTCAATACAAATATTAAAGTTTAGGGACTATTTTTTTTATTCTAACCTAAACGGAAAAGATACTACATTGCAAAATACACAATATCCATCACGGCGTCAATGTGGTGAAAAGGGGTGAAAAAGGGTAAAAATGCCCAAAGGTGCATCAGGTTGCATGAATCTCAGAGAGTTTTGGGTTTTGAGCTGAGTAGAAGAGAAGAAGAGAATTTTGACAATGGCTACCGAGAAACAAGCATCGGAGGTAGTGGGAGTAAGTAATTTCTTTTATTTTTTGAGTATTTTTATAATAAAATCTTTTTTGTTTATGTTGATTTGTTTTCGAAAATTTTTTTAGCAAAAATGCGCTTCGTGCTTGTTGTTGAATAAGCCTTCTTGCCCTACGAGTTGCATTTTTCACCATTTTTTGTGGCCTTACATTGAGGAGAAGATGAAGGTTGCTAAAATCTTGCACAAGTACTTCGGTGACGAGAACATCACTTAGCTTCTCATGGAAAGAATTAACTTCTCTGGCGAATAGAGAATCAAGTTTGTTGGGTCTTTAATAGAAACTTCCAACAATTTTGAAAAGGATAAGATAGACGAACCATATAGCAAAATCAAGTGGGTAGAGGTTCATGGTGGTGATGATTGTGAAAATTGTGCATCTGGATTTAATACAAGACTTGCATTCAACCTAAAACTAATTGGGTATTTAACCTACAAGTTTTTCACTTTTATGCTCGATATGAGATTTTTTCATTTAACACGCCTCTTCATGTGCAAGCCCACTATAAATGTTAAGTCCGTCACGTGGCTTAACAGGCCTCCTTATATGCAGGCCTGATATTAACTTCAGGTTCTGTTAGGTGAACTAACAATGAAATTTCCATGAAAAAATTTGGGGTCTAATATCATATGAAAATTGTGTATGTTATGGGCTCAACACAAGGTTTGCATCAAACCTAAAACTAATTGGCAATAGGTGGAGTAGCTCTCCTTATATTTAACCCACATAGTTCTTTGTTTTAGATTCAATGTGAGATTCTCTCACTCAACACACCCCCTTATATGCACACCGGCTATGAATGTCGAATCTTGTCACCTGGTTTAACACGTCCCTTTACATGCAGACTCGATATCAACTTCGAGTCCTATTAGGTGGGCTAACAATGGGCTTCTCATGATAGAATCTGAGTTTTGATATCATATGAAAATTATGCATGTGGACTCAACACAAGACTTGGATTCAATTTAAAACCAATTGGTGTTATGAATATCGGATCTTGTCACGTGATTGAGCACGCCCCCTTACATGCAGGCCCAGTATCAACTTTGGGTCTTGTCAAGTGAGTTATTAATGGGCTTCTCAAGATAGAATTTGGGTTTTGATATCATGTGAAAATTATGCATGTGGATTTGATACAAGACTTGCGGCCAACCTAAAATCAATTGTCAATAAATGGAGTATCCCTTCATACATTTAACCCCCATACTTCTTTGTTTTAAACTCGATGTGGGATTCTCCCACTCAACAAAGAAGAGCTACTCCACTTATTGTTAATTAGTTTTAGGTTGGATGCAAGTTTTGTGTTCAGCTCATATGCACAATTTTCACATGATATCAGAGTCCAAATTCTGCCATGGGAAGCCCATTATTAGGCCACCTGACAAGATCCAAAAGTAAAGTTGATACTGGACCTATATCTTAGGAGACATGTTAAGCCACATGATAGGCGCCTATGTGATAAGACCTAACATTCATAGCGTGCCAGCACATGAAGGGGCATGTTGAGTGGAAAAATCCCACATCAAGTGTATAATGAAGAAACTTGAGGGTCAAATATAAGGAAGGTCATTTCGCCTATTGCTAATTGGTTTTAGGTTGAATACAAACCTTGTGTTGAGCCTACATATACAATTTTCACATGATAGCAGAGCTCGAGTTCTGCCATGAAAGCCCATTGTTAGCCTATCTGATAGAACCCAAAGTTGATACCGGTTCTGCATTTAAGAGGGCGCATTAAGTCACATGAATGGGCTTTCACATAAAAGGGCATGTTAAGTGGGAAAATCCGTGGGTTAAATACAAGGAATACCACTCCATCTATTATCGATTGATTTTAGGTTGGATGCAAGTCTTATGTTGAGCCCACATGCACAATTTTCATAATGATGGTGATTACGGCCGGGACATTAAGGCTTTTGACGGTATTGGCGGTGAGGTCCTACTGCCACTTTTCTGATTGATTTGCAATTACTTTTGGTATTTGATTTTTCATTCCGTTTTGCAAGTGATGTTGTTGAGGACAGTGGGGCTCTTACTGGTACTGGTGATGTGGCATCACCACTTACTGTTGCGCATACATCATCTGGTTTGATTTCTCACCATTTAATTTGCAGTAGGCTTTTAATTTTCAGTTCCTAATTTCTTCCTTTATTTTGTAGCTCATGTGGTGCCTCATAAGCTGATTGTTTGCAAATCCACTAGAGGCAAGGCTCCGAGGAGACAACTTGTGACAGAGGTAGGCAATCTTTATTAATTTTCTGCCTTTTTCATATATCAGTGATTTAGTTAGTGCTTTACCTTCTTAATTAAATCTCAAAGGTGATTAGAAGTTTATTGGAATTATAGTGGGAGCTCTCTTTTATTCTTAAGATAGTTATGATAGTAATGTAGCTCTTATGGAAGAATGAGGGCCATAATGTTCTATTCTCTTCTTGGGTTTTTTCTTCTATATATAGCTATTGGTGAACTAGTGAAGTGGAAGTTTTAGGTTTCATCTATGTTTATCCTCTTGGACCTTAGTAACAATCTACCTATGGTTTTTCTATTCTCCATTACATCTAGTTTCTCCTTATATTGAAATTGCTTTGGCTGCTATTTTGCTAGACATAATGGTTTCCTTTTCCTCTTTATGTTACTCTGTTCACTTTATGTGCTAGATAGCGTTACTTTTGTTGATGGAATTTTGTGGTTGCTAAAGAAAGAAAAGAAAAGAAAAAACTACTTTTAATATTTGCTATTAACTTCACTCTTTTAATTTGGCTTTGATTCTTGTCAATTATTTTAAAGGTTGATGCCTCTGCTCCTGGTGGTTGTGGTGATGATAGTGAACTGGTTCCCCCTATTCTTGCTCTTGATGATAGTGGTGATGGCAATGAGCCAGTTCCTCCTCCTGTTGAAGGAAGTTTGATTGATGATATTGATGCATCTAGATTGATAGCTCCATAGGCATTCAACCTTATTAGGTTGGAAAGGAAGTCACGAGAATAGTTACATTGTGGACTGATAAAGAAAGGGGCCTAAGTTAGCTACACCTATCAAGACTTTCACTACATATTATGGCAAACTACATTTTATATATTCTTCACTTCACGACTACTTCTAATAACTGTTTTTATAATGGCTGCGTGAGCTTGTTTGAAGGCAAAAACCCTTGTCATGGAGTTGATTGTGGATCTGATCATTTTATAGTGATGGATCAAATTATCAAGGTTCATATTCTTGAGAAACTAGTTCAACCAAATATATACCAGGAGTGTTGAACCTTGATTTAGTCATCAGATGCAATTGCAACACGCAACACTTGCACTTCATTAGGATCTTACAACAACCAGTCATGATTTTAGTAGTGTGGAGATTAGAAATAGTATTTGGAACACAAATCTTTTAGCTTTAAATTTTATTTCAAAACATGAAGCATATCCAATTCCAGGCATGGCTGCACATCTTAAGATTATAATGGCAATAATGATGGAAGTGAGCTAATAATAATAATAATTGGTGACATATGTAATTCTAGCTCAATTAGTTGAACTGTTTTTATAATGGTTGTATGTCTTTTGAAGTGAGCACGTTTGAAAGCAAGAACCCTACGTTCTGGAGCTAATCATGGATATGAGCATTTTGTAATAATAGATCAATTGATCAAGGTTCAGATCCCTAAGAAACCAGTTCACCATATACAAGTCAGTAGGGTTGAACCCTAATTTAGTTAATAAATGCAACTGCAACATGTAGCACTTGCACCTCATTAAGTTCTTACTAAAACCAGTCATGATTTTTAGTGGTGTCGATATTAGAGATGGTACCTAGAAAATAAATCTTCCATTCAAAATTTATGCCTAAACATGATGCATATCCAATTCTAAGTATGGTTGCACATGTAGTATAGATTCTAAAACCAACTTTGCTAGTTCATCTTGAAACTTGACTACATTAAGAAACCTTCCAACTCATCAAAATTGCACGAGGCCTTCTCTGAGGCACCACTTCAATAAAACTCTCTACACGTTACACGCTTCAATAGATTATAAGCATCTAATTAATTTAACATTTGGTTAAACAAGGATTCACGGTAACTAGGAATTAATTAAAAATATATATCAAAGTATTTCCTTAAAAATCCTCTAGTGGCATCACATGTGCGGAATTTGGATGCGGGCGTGTCACTTACTTTGCTGAAAGTAAAAAAAAAAAAAGAATTTTCCCAATGACCCTTTCCTTTCTCATGATTGACCTCTTTGCGAACGACGGGAAGCATGTTGGTTTAAAATTAAAATCTATACCTATAGACAATTTGTAAAAGGGAGAGATGCCTTCTTGTAACATGAGTTACAAATCTACTTTGAACAACTCCAAGGACTTAAACACTAAAGTGAATCAAAGTTAATAGATCCTAATTGAATTAAACAGCATCCAATTTAAAGTAAACGTGTGAGAAAAAGTAAGCATGTTCATTGTTAGATTAAATTACTAACTACAGACAAATTTGGAAATTAAAATACTATAGAATTGGAAATTTAACCTTAATTAACACTAAAACAAATATGAACAAGAATTCAACTAATATGCTTGAAATTGAAAAAAAGCGTAAACATCATATAAGTAATCATTTGAAAAAACAGTATTTATTATCAATATTAAATCAACACCAGTCAGAAAAGGAATAATATCTTGCAAAAATTCAAAAGTTCAAAGTTCACTATATGAAACAAAATTGTTGAAGCGAATACATGAACTAATTCAACTGTTAGAATGATGAAAATAACCTAAATCTATTGGGAATTGTACTGAAAATTGAAATTTGTAAGCAAATGTAAGCAATTGCAGAGAAATTGAAAGTCCAAAAATTTGTAAGTTGTGTGTAGGGGTTGGCCATGTGTTCTGAGATTCAAAGTTTCCTTTTTGTTTCCATTTTTCGGACTTTAACTTCCTACTTTCTGCAATTACACAAATTATGAACAATTTTCTTAAAGAAGTGGGACATATCAACAATTGACAATGTTATACTTTCTTCTAGATTTCGCCACATATCCCATGATCTAATAACCCACACCAAAAACTGAAACCTCTTCCTAAATTTTAGTTAAAACAAACTTAATTTGACTCAAAAAAGGGTAATTAAAAGATAAAGTCTTATCTTTTTGCCTCTTTTTTCCTATGTGACAATTGATCTGTCATGAGACCCAAAATGACATATCTGACATGTTTTTATCGTCTCCATTCATTTAAAAATTTGTTACATGTGATATGATTTTAAATTTTTACAATTTATGATGTCAACAAAAAGACATGCAACAAGACTAAACAATTGAGAATTGAATATCAAATAAGAAGTATAACAATCAGATATCATATCAACAACAACTACTTAAAATATGAAAAACTAGAAAAAGAAACTCTACCAACAAGCCCTTTAAATTTACATGGTATCTTCTTTTTTTTTAATATGGATGTTCATGGACAGAAGTATAAATTGTGTTGATGACACCTCGATTTTCTTTTCTAACAATATCCACCAGCATCTT